AGACGTTGAATATTAAATTGAATTTGTTCGACCGTAGACGCCAGGCAACGCCGCGCAGCGCAGCGCCGCGCGAAGCGACGCGTGTTTCCATCTCGCGGATTTGCATAAGTGACTTATGGTCAGTGGGTATTACCCACGTCGCGCGCGGGGTGAGCCCGGGCCCCGCTCGGATATCTTTGATGTGACGTTCGCGTAGGGATTCAAATGAGGGATGGTCGTTATGAGGCGGGGTGTAGAATATCATACGCGCGCGTATTTGGTTTCGTGCCACGCGCGCCGCGCCGCGCCGCGCCGGCCTCCAAAGGAGCGTGCTTTCATTACGGCCGCGAATTAACGGCGAAAGTTCACGAGAGCATGGAAATTACCGTATTATTCGGAAAAACATTGTCCGACCGCTGCTCGTCGCTTTCACCTTCTGTAATTATACCGCGCGTGCGTTGCACGCTGGTCGTTTTTTTTCCCCCAAAAAGTGAGGAAACGTCAGTTTCTAAAAATATATCACCGTAACGAATTTATTCACTGGTAGTTGATTAAAATATGAGGTTCATTATTTCTATGTAATTGAATTACTTTGTAATTAATAGTATGTAATTGGATTAGAACGTAACTGAATTACAATGTAATTGAATTACAACGTAACTGAATTGCAACGTAACTGAATTACAATGTAATTGATTTACAACGTAATTGAATTACAATGTAACTGAATTACCATGTAATTGAATTACAACGTAATTGAATTACAACGTAATTGAATTACAACGTAACTGAATTACCGTGTAATTGAATTACAACGTAACTGAATTACCATGTAATTGAATTACAACGTAACTGTGAATTACAACGTAATTGAATTACAATCTAATTGAATTACAACGTAATTGAATTACCATGTAATTGAATTACAACGTAACTGAATTACAATCTAATTGAATTACAACGTAACTGAATTACAATCTAATTGAATTACTTTGTAATTATAAATCGTGTAATTATAATTATAATTAATTTTATCATTATGAAGTGTTTTTTAAAATAACCAGTCCCTTTAACATAAAAAAAAATATGTTCAATCGTTTAGACGAGTTTTAAAAAAGTGATCACGTTTTGAAAGGTGATGGAATACTTTTTGTCAGGGCTTGTACCAGATATGAACGTTATTATAATGTCGCCCTCGCTGCGCGGTTCTTGAATCGAACGGTGACTTCTTGGAGCATGCGGCAGCGTCTTTCCGACGACGACAGGAATCGATAATATCGAGAGTCGAGCTATTAATCGAATATACATTTCACGGTCTCGTTCAATTAAAGTTGAAACGGCAATAACAGGCTCGCTGCGTAATCAATACTGGAGCTCCGTGTGCAAACCGAGAACGATAGGATTTAATGAGCTCAAAGCGGAATTAAAGAGAGGAAAATATCGCGCGACGCGATACTAACGAGCATACTATCGCGTACATTTTATGGCAGTCGGACAAATATGTTTCGAATCGTCGGGATTATTTTTAAACGACGATTCACACTCGAAGGCGGCGTGCTCGGTTACAAAACCGAGAATTCAATGGCACCGACGTATTACGATTTCAATTATAGTTATCTCTGTGTCTTCTAACGGCTATTACTTTTTCTTAGTGTTATTACTAGACTGCGGTGTTCATATATCTACGAGAAAAATGAGTAGACCAAATACAAAACAGTTAAAACACATTTAAAGAATTTAAACATACTATCGCATTATTTTCATTATTTTCATGTCAGTGAAATAATCGAAGAATAAAAGAAACGTCTATGCAGCTTCTGTATCTTGCAATTAATGCGGACAATATTTATTTTGCAATTTGTTGAGATAAAAAAGAATGAAAAATTGCGCGAATTTTGACTTTTCGCACAAATTCTTCTCAAGAATTGCAATTCGTTGAGATGACAAAAGCATGAAAAATCACGCGAGTTCCTTATTTTCTTTTCACTCCGAACAATCGCTATTTAACCCGAGAAAGATAACCTACGTCGCAGAGGCGCCTGCGAAGACTGTTGATTTTTGTTAATTTTTCATAGAGGTCTAGTGATTTAAGTTTAAAATTACTTAAAATATAAAAAAATATAATATAAATGCATTTTATTTTTACAATAATGCCAAACCTTTAAAATGACTAGATTAACTTAAATAAATATCCATTGTTAGTATAAAATTGACGCCTTAGAAAAGCATGCGCCTCTGAAGCGTATGGTTATCTTTTACGTACGTTGTCATATGGTTATCTTTCTAGGGTTAAAAAAGAAATTGTAGACATTGCTTAGTAAACTGGCCTTTCTAACACCTCCAAAAATGATACAAGTCTTTTCGTCCAATATGAAAAGAGGTGTCCGAATATTAACGCGGTTCACTCGATCTTCTCGGCTCCGGGCAAAAGATACCGACTTTAAAGTAGCACTCGACACCTCGGGACGTCCGCTGAAATATGCGAAGCAACGGGGGACNAGACTGTTGATTTTTGTTAATTTTTCATAGAGGTCTAGTGATTTAAGTTTAAAATTACTTAAAATATAAAAAAATATAATATAAATGCATTTTATTTTTACAATAATGCCAAACCTTTAAAATGACTAGATTAACTTAAATAAATATCCATTGTTAGTATAAAATTGACGCCTTAGAAAAGCATGCGCCTCTGAAGCGTATGGTTATCTTTTACGTACGTTGTCATATGGTTATCTTTCTAGGGTTAAAAAAGAAATTGTAGACATTGCTTAGTAAACTGGCCTTTCTAACACCTCCAAAAATGATACAAGTCTTTTCGTCCAATATGAAAAGAGGTGTCCGAATATTAACGCGGTTCACTCGATCTTCTCGGCTCCGGGCAAAAGATACCGACTTTAAAGTAGCACTCGACACCTCGGGACGTCCGCTGAAATATGCGAAGCAACGGGGGACCAAGGAACACACGGCCGTGAAACGTAATCCCGGGTCTCACGCGGAGATTATCAATAGTGACCATATCAGGGGGACCAAAATGGAAGCTGCGTAACAAGCGCGCGGTGGTCGGAGGGTCGCGGCCCGACCGGCAACAATTTTTCATCCATAATTAACTGTCAGTGGCGGACGTTCAAGCAATCAAAGTGGAAACAGGAATCCGTCACACGTTACGACGTTCGACGGTGCATCTACCGTGGCCATCGTTCGACGGAAATTCGGAACTGAACGTTCTTCTGGCGGTAACGTTGTTCGCGGATATTTATTTCCTTTATTTATTCTTTATTTTTCTTGATTTTCCTTTATTTCTCTTTATTTTCCTTTTTTATTCTTCATTCTAGTTATTAAATTTTCTTGCCCTAAAGTGGCGCTGGAAATTTGTTCAGGATATAAGATTATTAGCGAAAGTGCAATACAAACATAGCTAATTGTGTAAGTCTCGTACAATTATCTCTTACATCATAAGAGGTTCGAAACACCTGTGCATCGTTCCGATGATTACTCTATTGACATTCTGCAAATAAAATCTGATGAAACGTAGTATTCACCGAGACAGAAAATTTGTCGATAACTTGATCGCGATTAAACCGCGGATCTTGCAAATTCAGACAGAAAGCTACCTGCCGTGTGAATGAGGTCTACTGACAAAGCGGACGGTACGCCGGAACGTTGACGTTTAACGCGACAGGTACATATCCTCACAACAGGTTATCGATTAATCGTTGATATCTTATCAAGAATTATGAACAGCAGTATATACACTGCATTGTCGAAGCTGAACGAGAGCTTATATCATTCGCATAGAATAGAAACTATGTTATACAAACTTATCAGCCACACACAGGTACCGTTAAAGTCGGGTATAAAAGGTACATTTAAGAGATGTTTGCACCCTTTCAGTTGTATCGTTAATACGCTGTGTTGACAATTATTTAATACAGCGTAATTAATACGCGGTAGTAACAATTATTTAATACAGCGTAATTAACACGCTGTACTAACAATTATTTAATGCAGCGTAATCAACACGCTGTACTAACAATTATTTAATACAGCGTAATTAATACGCTGTAGTAACAATTATTTAATGCAACGTAATTAACACGCTGTACTAACAATTATTTAATACAGCGTAATTAATACGCTGTAGTAACAATTATTTAATGCAACGTAATTAACACGCTGTACTAACAATTATTTAATACAGCGTAATTAATACGCTGTAGTAACAATTATTTAATGCAACGTAATTAACACGCTGTACTAACAATTATTTAATACAGCGTAATTAATACGCTGTAGTAACAATTATTTAATGCAACGTAATTAACACGCTGTACTAACAATTATTTAATACAGCGTAATTAACACGCTGTATTAACAATTATTAATAAAGATGTTGTACACATTTTCAGGAAGTAGCACATTGTTGGTCTAAAATTCTAAAGCATCGTTTCATTCTTGTCGAAAACGTTAAACGACATTTCTAAATTAACAAAGAACAATCGTGTTTAAGAACAAAATCAAATCATTGATATTTTGAATGTATAAATTTTGCACGCATAATTTTCTCACACACTTTAGCATGGCAATGCTAGACGGAATAAAAAGTCGTCGAATAAGGCTTAAGAACGACCTAGTAATCAACGATCACACGCAGCCACCGAAAACTGTTAAAAAACGAAGAAGACAAGGGTGCGTAAAACGATAATCAGATTTCCGTTTGCATTTTGGGAGACAGACACGTAAAAGCGAGGGGAAGAACATGAGTTGTTGCGGTTGGAAGAAGCAAATTTTTGTCGGCGTTTCGAGACACGACATCGTAATAAATGCGTCGGTTAGCATCGAGCGCGTCGGTATGCATAGTAACGAGACCGGGCCGACGATCCGGTCTCCGTCGGCGTCGTTTTCGGGGCGCGGATCGTCGGGTGACGTCGCGGAGACGCGAGCCGCGAGCCGCGGAAATGGTTCTCTATCAGGCGCGGGGGCCGCGGCTTTATCAGATAAAGTCTCGCTATCGGTCTTGGCAAATAAGGGAACGCTGACAGTTCGACGATGACACACGGCGCCCGTCGTTACGGAGGCGTACGTGCCGCGACGGCTATTTTTTCCCCGTCCCTTCGCTTCGCGCGTTCGTAATTTCAGTTCCGCCCCGGCGAACGCGACACCGCCGCGCCGCAAGGACGAGAACCGACCGAGTCGAGTGAGGAAATTCAGCACGATCGATTGCAATCTGTTCGACTCGCGTGTCTGCTGCCGTAAGTATGTGTGTCCAGGAGTGTTGCACGCCGGAAGAATCGCCGGAAACGACGGTTACCGGCTACCGAATCGATCGCGATGCGCCGCGAGATGACGAAAATTAATTGTATACCTCGACCTTCAAGTGATCTTCCATTTAGTGTAATATCTCCGTAATTGACGCTCGGATTATCCACAGAAATGGACAATTTGGGAAGAGGGGATACGATTATTCGAGTCTTGCGATTCATTTCATTTTCATCAGAAGGCTCTGATAATCGTATTTTCTCCTCCCAAATTGTCCATTTCTGTGGACAATCCGAGGACGTCAATTAGGGAGACATTACTGTAGATCGTATTTATTTTGGAAACGATGTTGAATGTTGTCGCCTTTTTTTCCATTTTAACGCAGTTCCAACCTGCAGTGGAGACTATTCTTATCTTATCGACCTCTCTCTAAGTGATCTTCCATTTACAGTAATATCTCCCTAATTGACGCTCGGATTATCCAAAGAAATGGACAATTTGGGAGGAGGGGATACGATTATTCGAGTGTTGCTATTCATTTCATTTTCATCAGAAGGCTCTGATAATCGTATTTTCTCCTCCCAAATTGTCCATTTCTGTGGGCAATCCGAGGGCGTCAATTAGGGAGACATTACTGTAGATCGTATTTATTTTGGAAACGATGTTGAATGTTGTCGCCTTTTTTTCCATTTTAACGCAGTTCCAACCTGCAGTGGAGACTATTCTTATCTTATCGACCTCTCTCTAAGTGATCTTCCATTTACAGTAATATCTCCCTAATTGACGCTCGGATTATCCAAAGAAATGGACAATTTGGGAGGAGGGGATACGATTATTCGAGTCTTGCGATTCATTTCATTTTCATCAGAAGGCTCTAAGAATCGTATTTTCTCCTCCCAAATTGTCCATTTCTGTGGACAATCCGAGGGCGTCAGTTAGGGAGACATTACTGTAGATCGTATTTATTTTGGAAACGATGTTGAATGTTGTCGCCTTTTTTTCCATTTTAACGCAGTTCCAACCTGCAGTGGAGACTATTCTTATCTTATCGACCTCTCTCTAAGTGATCTTCCATTTACAGTAATATCTCCCTAATTGACGCTCGGATTATCCACAGAAATAGACAATTTGGGAACAGGGGATACGATTATTCGAGTCTTGCGATTCATTTCATTTTCATCAGAAGGCTCTGATAATCGTATTTTCTCCTCCCAAATTGTCCATTTTTGTGGACAATCAGAGGACGTCAATTAGGGAGACATTACTGTAAATCGTATTTATTTTGGAAACGATGTTGAATGTTGTCGCCTTTTTTTCCATTTTAACGCAGTTCCAACCTGCAGTGGAGACTATTCTTATCTTATCGACCTCTCTCTAAGTGATCTTCCATTTACAGTAATATCTCCCTAATTGACGCTCGGATTATCCACAGAAATAGACAATTTGGGAACAGGGGATACGATTATTCGAGTCTTGCGATTCATTTCATTTTCATCAGAAGGCTCTGATAATCGTATTTTCTCCTCCCAAATTGTCCATTTTTGTGGACAATCAGAGGACGTCAATTAGGGAGACATTACTGTAGATCGTATTTATTTTGGAAACGATGTTGAAAGTTGTCGCCTTCTTTTTCCCATTTTAACGCAGTTCCAACCTCCAGTGGAGACTATTCATATCAGATCGGTTCTACGCGTCTTCTTCTCCAATTCAATTAGACGACACCTCTATTCTTCTCGCTTCTTCTATTGTCTTCCGAGCGAGACTCGTTTGTTCGCTTTCGAAGAACCGATGTCCTTGAAGAAAACCGTCGAAGCGACGTTCACGTAATTCTAGTTCCGTTTGGATCCTCTTCGGACGTTTCTACCGCTCCGATCGATCGATGCTCGATTTAAAATCGACGCACTGCGCGCATTCTCAACGATATCACTCGAGCATATTACCAATACGGTATTGTAAATTGTTATTGGACTCTGAGTGCTTATACATTTCGAGGGTTGTTATTAAATTCTGAGTGTTCGTTCATTTTTAGAATTGTTATGGAACTCTCAGTGTTTATAGATTCCTAGGATTTTTGGACAAGTGTTGTTTGGTATTTTTAAATTGTTCATAGTACGCAGAAATTTTTAACTGTTTTTGACGGGGACACGTGTCACGCAAAACGTTGGCAGCTAACCTGATTAAGTAGGATAGACACTTTGTTAAGTATATTATTAAATATCTTGTTAAAATTATATACATCCTTTATTAAATCTTATAAAATTAAATTATACGTTAAATTACATATTTGATAAAAGTGTCGTATTTAAACGAAGTATGAAGAAAGATAAACATATGTATACAACATAATTACAGTAACTTGCACACTTTTCAAAAACATTGCAACAGTTAACCGATTGACAATTGATATCACGTAATGCAGAATTATTTTCACAAATTGTGAATTGCATGAACCAGTAGTAGCTCGTAAACTAATAGTTCCTAAACCAATAGTGCATAAACTATATTCTAGTTATCGAAAAAATATCAACAACACTGTGAAGAGATTCGGTTTCAAATGACGTCACTCGTAAAAAAGAGAAAATGACGTCGCTCATTAAAAAAGAAAGAAGAAAACAACGCCACTTTCTTAGTTATTTTTCAATATTCTCCGGAACCCGGTCGAGCGAACAAAGAGCACTAACGATAGCAGAAAATCTATGTCATCGACGTATGACTAAAGTCCGTCGCGATTGTTTAAGCCATCCGGTTTGATAACCAGCCAACTGACTAAACATTATTCTTATCTGACACAGCTGGAATTGGTGTACCGCCGTATTGTTCTTGCTTAGTATACCACCAAGACCGGCCCCTTTCGCGAAGATGGGCTCCGATAATTTCGGTCTTCTGAAGACCGACGTGTGATTTCAGATCGCTGTGTTGCTCAACGATCCATATTCTTGTGAAGCGTATTAAATCTTCGAGTGAGTAGATTTATCTTCTGCTGACATTGATATCTCCCGGAGATACCGCGGGTCTTCCACGCAAGCCGTCGCTTATCTCGTTTCTATTGTTTCGAAATCGCGCGACTTCGAAATTTCGGTGACTTCTCGAGATATCATTCGCGAATGCCTCGCTGAATATTTTCATATGGAGCGTCGAATATTTTTCGGTCGATTACATAATTCCCGCGAATAGGCTGCAGATCCTAGACTCTGCGAATGTTAGCCGGTAATGTGAATGGGACTGATTGCGCGTATAAATTATCGGAATTTAGTCGTGAATCGCTTCGAGTGCACGGAACTGTGATTCACCGGTGATTAACTTCGCTTAAATCGATTTTTCTTTCTCGAAATCCTGAAGCGATAGATAAATTTCGCGATCGGCTCGGAAATCAGCGTTGATACGATGCATAAAATGTCATAAAAAATATCCAACTACGCATGGTATTGGATAAATCACTATTTTGCTGGAACATTTCAAGTTTAACGTAAATTTGCATTAACATAATTTTTTCCCTCAATCAGCAACATATCGGTTTGTACGTAAAAGGAATATCCATCGCTTTATCTTATTTTTAGTAAAAATTTAAGATCGTAGAAAACAATCGTAATTAATCGTAATTAATCGAGCGTAATTAATCGTAATTAATCAGTTTCAAATTACATTTATGAGAATTTTATAAATACAAATACAAAAATATTAAGCGTGAATAAAATAACCTATATTTATTTTGCACAAAATCTCAAAATTTTTCTAATACGGATAACCATATTGCAAAAATTATATTATTTAAATAATCATGATTACAAAACACAGAAACGTTGCATAAAACACGTTGTTATATCAAAAAAATGAGATCGCTATTACATTAAATTTGAGAGTATATTATTATTTATTGAGAATTTATATTGTTTAGATGAGACATGAAAATTATATATCATTATTATATTAATTATGTATATGCAGGATGTCTCAGAAACTCTATTACAAAGCGATATCTCCATTATTGTTAATGATACGCGAAAATGCTTCAGGAACAAATTGTTTGGTTCAAAGGGACACATGTTATGGTGGAAATCATTTTTTTGTAAAGGTCATATTTTTTGAGATTTCAAGGTCATCGATATTTTTTCAAATGGGATTACATATTTTTATCATTATATCATGATAGCTAAGATCAAGACGAATCTAATATCCATGACCTTCATGTGATCTTGGGTACGGAAAATATAGAAATTTTTAGACATGAACAACTATTATATGTATATATGTATATTAGTTATCTATATAGATGGATAGATAACTAATATATATACATATAATAGTTGTACATGTCTAAAAATTTCTCCGAGGCGCCGTTAACGAGTTATTAACGAAAAACAGTGACCAATAAGAATCGAGTACGGCTGACGCGAGGCGGCCCAGCCAACCAGCGCGCGAAGCCCAGTTCCGCTCATTGGCTCGGTCGCCTCGCGCCAGCTGAGCTGGGCTCGACCGCCTCGACCGCTGGCGCCGTTGACTCGGCCACCTCGCGTCAGCCGTACTCGATTCTTATTGGTCACTGTTTTTCGTTAATAACTCGTTA